CTGGGGTCCTGTTGAACTGGGATGATCCCAGGGGATCTCCTGGGGTCCTGTTGAACTGGGATGATCCCAGGGGATCTTCTGGGGGCCTGAGGAACTAGGATGAGCCCAAGGGATCTCCTGGGGTCCTGACCAACTGGGATGATCCCAGGGGATCTCCTGGGGTCCTGACCAGCTGGGATGATCCCATTCCTCGACAACGGAGCCGCTCCATTCCTCCGTAACGGAGCCGCTCCGCTCCTCGATAACGGAGCCGTGGAATCAGAGGCCCACAGAGTCGTCGAGGTTGGCAAAGACCCTGGAGATCCTCAAATCCAGCCGTTCACCCCGCGCTGCCAAACGAAACCCAGGCGGGGAGACGGCGCCTAATCCTAGACTCCAGAAAGCGAAGCGCAAACGCCGCTCGTCTTACGGCGGCGTGCGACGTAAAAGAAATGTTATTTATGCAGGAGGATAAAGCTGCTTTTACCTGGGAGGGGATGAAATTTATATTTAACGAACTCCGGGCTATAAGCGTTCACCCGCCGTAGCCCAGCGCTGGCTGAACGGTTGCAAACTCTTTCGATTCCTCCCGAAGTTAAGTCGGAATTGTTTAATGAAACCTTTTAATTTTTTTTTTTTTTTTTTTTTTTTTAAATTAATTTTGATTATTTTTGTTCCCAATTTTTTTTTACTTCAATCACATTTTAAGATTGTTTCATAAAAACCTTTAAAAACGCGGCGTAGCGGTGGGGCGGGCGGGGGGACCCCCTGTCACTGCGGGCGGCCCGTGGGACGGCCGAGGGGGGCACCTAACTCGGAGGATTTCAGAAGTAGAGACGAAAATAAGCAAGAAAATGGGTAAATCGGGAGAGAAATAGGGTAGTGAAGAGCTCCAGGTGGAAGGAGAAAGTCCTCGGCCTCGCTCTCTCGCCATCCCCGGTCCCTTATGGCGCTGGGCGAAGGCTCAGGTGGCCTCCGCGCCTCCCCAGCTCCGCTCCCCTCCTTTCCCCTCCAGATCTTCCCCCCATCGCTCCCAGCGCCCGGTTGAAGGTCCTTTGGATGGCAAAAAAAAAAAAATCCCAAGTGAAGGGCCCTCAGATGGCCCCGCCACCGCGTTGGGTTGACCCATGGCCAACCCCTTCTCCCCCAGTCCGGTTAAAAAAAGTCAAAGCTCTTCTGCAATTTCTCCTCTGGGTTTTTTTTTTATTCGTTTCGCTCCTGATGGCTCCTCGCCGGCCGAGGGAGCGCTGAGCCGGTCTTCGGCGCCCAGCGTCGCCTGGAGCCGGTCCCCTCATCCATGGGTTGGACCAAGGCAGAGGTCTTCATCGAGGGGGTTCCTCAAGCAGGCCGGTCTCACGGCTCCGTGCTTGAGGTTGTTCCAACCACCGGCCAGCATTTCTCAGGCCTGAACATCACCATTTTTGCCATCTCGGGCTCGCTGTCGGCCGTTCGAGCGCCTCGTAGGCGGGCTCCTCGGGCAGGCCGGCCTCCGAGCTGCTTGCCGATAAGATGGCTATCACAGGCGTTACGAAGGTCAAGGCTTCCTGGGGATGGGAGGAGGGCTTGGCTTTCACCGGCTCCATCGCTGCGATTTCCGCGAGGATTTTCTCCGCTAATAATCCTCCTCCTTCTTCTTCTTCTCCTCCGCCTCCTCCTCCTCTTCCTCCTTCTCCTCCTCCTGCTCCTCCTCGTCCTCCTCCTCTTCCTTCTCCTCTTCCTCCTCTTCCACCTCCTCCTTCTTGTCCTCCTCCGCCACCTCCTCCTCCTCTTCCACCTCCTCCTCGTCTTCCTCTTCTACCTCCTCCTCCTCTTCCACCTCCTCCTCCTTCTCGTCCTCCTCCGCCTCCTCCTCTTCTTCCTCCTCCTCTTTCCCCTTTGTAGCTCTGAAGTTTCGTCGCCTGCGCGTGGCTCTGCGTTGCTTTTTGGCCTTTGGCCATGAATTTGCCCTTGAGTTGGCCGGCCGCAGGCCGCGTTTTGGCAGAGGAACATCTCCGGGTCATCGACTGCCGCCTGGAAGGACGCAACGGGGAGAGGTCTACCTGAGGACGCGATGGGGTCGGAGCCGCGTCTCGCCCACGTGAGCCACGTGCCTAATTCACGCGGCCACCGGCAGCTCGGCCGAGGAAAACCCCCGACGCGCGGTCGTCCCCGGCCAACCTGACTTGGAATGTCTCCAGGGATGGGGCATCTCCAACCTCTCTGGGTTAAAATAACCCCCGTGCAGATGGCAGCCCTGAGCCTTCAGCCTCACCTGACCAGCGGCATCTTCCTCTGCCCCATCCCCGTGATTTCCCAGAACGGCGGTATTTCACTATTAGACGAGTTTGGACTAGCAGGAGGGGGAAAACCAAGCGATCCCGCTGGAACTGGAAAGGAGAGACCTCATCAGAAAGGCAGCGCTGTGACGCTGGCGGCGGCGGCGGCGACACGCGGGGACGCTCGGCCCTCTTCCCAAAATGTCTGAGAGGGTTGTTCCGCTCCCCGCACAGCCGCCAGCGCCCTCCCCAACGCCCGTTTTTGTCCCGCTTCCCCGTTTCCGACGCGGTTTTGCGTTATCGGCGCCGGGTTTGGGACCGAGGAGCCGGGGGGGATGGAGGCGACGGGGACTCTTCGGGGGGTGAGCGGGGAAGGCGAGGGCCTTGCGCCGCCATCGTCCCCTCGGGCGCATCCCACCCCAGGGCTCCGTTTCGGTGACGTTAATGAGTCATTAGGACAAAAAGCCGGGCCGAGCTGGCTTGAGGCGCAAGTTGGAGCCGTCCGCGCCGGTGATTTGCCCATGAGATGACCAAAGTTGGTTGCCCGTCCTACGGAAAGGAGCCGGGAGCTGCTTTACCTTTCGTGTCTTGCCTGAGAGGTGGCAAAGCCTCTCCTCTCGTCTGCTTGTCCTCACCGGGGACTTGTCTTGAGGTTTTGAGAAAAGCCCTGGCTACAAACTCCATTTCGAACCTAGAAACCAGAAGGAGACACCGACAGAACCCGGAGCACCACCACCGCCGTGATCTGCTCACAGGCGGATTTCGGCCTTGCCGTAAAGGCCGTTGTTTTCCCAAGTCCACCGTGCCCCATCCCCAAGGCCAGTCCTGGGAAACGGGGTCACCCGGCAAAGCCCAAGCCACCACGGGAAGAAAATGTTGCCTAAATTCCTTGGCTTTTGCCATCAGATCTGGTTTCTGGGAGCGACGACGGCCTGGGGACATCGAGTCGCTGCCCGGCGCGGCGTCACAAGGAGCAAACGCAACCTTGAGCATCTGCATCAAGCGACGGCAACAACAGCCGCCAAGGTACTCACTTGGGAAAGACGATGACACGGCCGGAGAAAGTCAGGGAGGCCACGGGTACCACGGGGGACACCACCATGTCCAGCAGCCAGGGGACCTGCAGGGGAGGAGCACAAAGATGGCAGAACGTCGTCAACATGGCTGACGGACTCAAGATGGGAGGAGCCCAAAGATGGCAGGGAGTCCTTGGCATGGCTGAGCCACTCAAGATGGGAGGAGCCCAAAGATGGCAGGGCGTCGTCAACATGGCTGACAGACACAAGAGGAGAGGAGCCAAAAGAGGGCAG